GATCAACCTGTTTTCCAAAGCACCTGAGGGCAGGACAAGAAGCAATGGATGGAAACTAATCAAGGAGAGAAACAACCTAGAAGTAAGGAAAAACTTCGTAACAGTGAGGACAATTAACCAGTGGAACAGCTTGACTTCAGAAGTTGTGGGTGCTCCAACACTGGAGGTTTTTAAGAAGAGACTGGGTGGTCACTTGTCTGAAATGGTATAGTTTCTCCTGCTTGAGCAGGGGGCTGGACTAGAAGACCTCCAAGGTCCCTCCCAGCTTAATTCTGATTGATTGATACTTGGTCATGACTTGGATGGAAGATGACCAGAAATTCTGAAGGTTGTGGGCTAACATAGAAATGAAGAAACCCTTTCAGTAGATTTGCTGATCAATAAATGAATACAGGTAAGTCTTTGACTTAACAACAGGTTCATTTAGTGACTGTTCAAAGTTACAACGGCATTGAAAAAAGACCGGTGACCGTTTTCCACACTTATGATCATTGTAGCATTCCCATGGCCACATGATCAACATTCAAACACTTGGCAACTGGCTCATATTTATGATGGTTGAGGGGTCATGTATTCCCCTTTTGTGACCTTCTGAGAAGCAAAATTCATGGGGAAGCCAGGTTGACTTAACAACCATGTTACTAATTAAGCCAGTTCAATGACTCACTTAACAACCGTGCCAAGAAAGGTTGTAAAATGGGGCAAAATTCACTTAATAGCTGTCTCACTTGCCACAGAAATATTGGGCTCAGTTGTAAGATAAGATAAGATAAGATAAGATAAGATAAGATAAGATAAGATAAGATAAGATAAGATAAGATAAGATAAGATAAGATAAGATAAGATAAATTTATTGTCATTGTACTCAGAACCTGAGAACAACGAAATAAGGTCCGTACACAACGAAATTGTGGTCGTACATCGAAGACCACCTGCGTTTGTTTGCATGTTCCACCTTTATTATTTTTAGAAATCTCTGTAGTTTTAGAAATCATTTCAACAGGTAATGGCGGACAGCTTTTTGGCCAGAATCATAGAGGCATAAGGCTAGAAAGGACCCAGGAGATCTTCTCGCCCAGGGTTTAAGATACGTGGGCTTCTTCAACTCCCTGAATTCTTTAGCCAGCCATGTAGGCTGGGGAATTCTGGGAGTTGAAGTCCACCTATCTTAACGTTGTCAAATACCATTCTAGGTTTGCCCAACTCAAGACTGTCCCAGATAAATAGTTGTTGAACTTTGAGCTTGTCTTCTGAACAATCTGCCCTGTGCCATCTGCAAATTTCGGCTGGTGCCTCTTCTGCCTCCTTATGTGTTTTGTTAAACGCAAGCAAAATCATTTTGAATTTGACAGACAGCAGCAGCAGGAGAAGGCTGGTAGGGCAGTGTGTGGATGTCAACATTTAGGCATGGAAACTACCATAAATTTTGTTGAGGGGAACAGCTGAAACAAGTGGGTTCAATATGACAGGGAAGTACCTACTTGAGTTCTCTGTTTCTAGATGCATTTCCTGGTTGCAGATTATTTTATAGCTTTCTCTCTGTTTTCCTAAAGAAGGAAATCTGGAGTAAAGCCAAACCTTGCAACTATTATATTTCACCTCAGAGTTGATCTTCTAAGTAGTTTTTAACCACTTTCCATTTCCCTTTGCATTATCTAGCCTTTAGCTCAAACCTCATGCTATCTATTGAATTATATATTTTTTTAGAAAAAAAGTATTTAAAGTTTTCTTCCCCAAATGCCAAAAACTTTAATCTTAGACTGTCTACTGTTGACCTCACCCCATTCCTAAGAGGTCTGTAAGGGGCGTGCATAAGCGCACCAACATGCCTACCATCCAGGGGTGGGATTCTACCAGTTCGGACCAGTTCTATAGAACCGGTTGTTACGATTCTGTGCAGTTTGGAGAACCAGCAAATCACAACACTGGCTGGCCCCTCCCCTCCCCAGGAGGCTTCCCTGAGGCCCAGTCAGGGGTGGTATTCAGAGGGTTGGGGGAGGGAGACGTGGCCTGATAGCAGAGCTGAACCTTCTTTAGGATTGAAGTTTCGATTTTTTTCAGTGCAGACTCAGGCAGCAGATTGCAGAAAGGTAGATCTGGGAGTGAAACTGTGATTCTGCAAGCAGCTCAATCTGTCTGCCTGCTTTGCCTGATTTTGGGTAAAAGTTGCTCTTTTTTTAAATAAAAAAAATTCAATCTTTACATATATATTTACAATATTTACATACAAGCCACGCCCAGCCAGTCACATGACCACCAAGCCACACCCACAAATTAGGCCATGCCCACAGAACCAGTTGTTAAGAAATTTGAATCCCACCCCTGCTACCGTCCCTATCCTAATGTCCCCTTTTATTTGTACCTATTTCTTGTAATCATAATCATGTAACAGATAACAGATAATAGATAATCAGAGTTGGAAGGGACCTTGTAGGTCATCTAGTCCAACCCCCCCACCCAAACGGGAGACCCTACACCCTTTCTGACAAATGGCAGTCCAATCTCTACTTGAAAGTCTCAAGTGATGAAGCTCCCACAACTTCTGAAGACAAAGCTGTTCCATTGGTTAATTGTTCTCACTGTGAGAAAGTTTCTCCTTATTTCCAGGTTGAATCTCTCCTTGTTCAGTTCATGTTTACACTTAGACCTGTTATCTAGTACATGCTTGACAAAATAAATAAATAAATACAAATAAAAACTAGCAGAACTTATGCCTGCAAATTCGGATTTAAATTTGAGGAAAGGAGATGTGATTATGCTTAACTTACAGCCACAATTGAGAGAGTGGAATTTTCATCATAAATTATCACAATCATACGTTGAATCGGATTTGATTTTATGACCAGTTTTACGACAGTCGTTAAGCCAATCCAAAGTTGTTAAGCGAACAGTGTGGTTGTAAGTGTGAACCTACGGGTATTTTTTTTGCTGAAATTTGCCAAAAAAAGGTAGGTGAGATGGACACACTTTGTGGCAATAGTCATTTCTTCCTTTCTAAATATTCAGGTATCTCTAGTTTGAGCAGCTACAATGGGAAAACAGACCTCACCTGTTCAACTCTAGAAGTTTTGTTTTGTTTTGTTTTTTAAGGCCAGGTGATTGTAAGTCACAAACTGTGTTTCTGAATTTGACCTCCACAGTAATTGACACTTCTCCAGAGCACAGTTCTAATGTGAGAATTAGATCGACCCATATGGAGACATTTTGATTCCAATACAATTAAGTCAGTGATAGTTTGCTTCGAGCTACGTCACTCAACAGCTCACGTTATTCATATCAGGGGCTACTACTGACACACTTTTTATGGCATTTGTGTCAGGACAGGCAAGCATGTTCCATGGACGCTATGGTGGTGCATGAATAGGTGTTGGGAAACATGAAAAGAAGATTTTAGAAACAAGATCACGTGAAGTGTTCATGCCACTTTATAATGCCTTGGTAAGACCACACTTAGAGGGACACGGTGGCTCAGTGGCTGAGACGCTGAGCTTGTCGATCAAAAAGGTCGGCAGTTCGGTGGTTCGAATCCCTAGAGCCGCGTAACAGCGTGAGCTCCCGTTACTTGTCTGAGCTTCTGCCATAAACCTTGAATGAGAACATTGATATCTTGTAAAATCTTGATATCTCTGGAGATTTCAGCTGTTTTAAACGTGTGTGTTGGTTGTTTTTTTAAAAAAATTATTTAAAAATCATTTTAATTTCAGTTCATGTCACAGTATTACATAACTCATCCCCTCCTAGCTGAAAAAACGCAAAGGATGATAAGAATTTCTACCTACGGCTACGAAAACTGCCATCCAGAATAAACAAGATCGCATTCCTAAATTTTTATTTATGTTTTTCAACTTTCTGACAAACCGGTGGAACCCAATTGATTCCAAAACTATAATCTTGTGCTGAGGGCCAAATTTCAATTTGTTTACTTTCTTTTCGTTTATCTCTGTTATTTTTATTTTTTTATTGAGCATGTATGAAATCACTAAAAAAAATTAGGACCATGATGTGTTATAACGTGATTCACACCCTATGTAAGAGTAAAGCACCCCCAAAATGAATCTTGCAATAATTTAAGATATAACCCTAGCAAATGTTTCTCTCCTTTAGCCATTCTTATCAATAATTTGGAGGAATTGTTTTTAATTTTTTTGGTTTTGGTTTTTAGTTTTGAAAAACACAACCATTTTTTCTCTTGCCCTTTGCACAATTGCTTTTCTGTAGTGTTTCAGCATTGTCAACACACACACACACACAGAGAGAGAGAGAGAGAGAGAGAGAGAGATGCCCATCCACCAGGAATTGAAAGGGCAGGAAAGGAAGAGGTTCTTTCTTAATCTGGGGAGCATTTGAACGAGATGAAGTGTGGAAACATTCCTAATTAAAACCCAAATGCTTTTAATGTATATCTGAAGTTCTTGTGAATTTTCCTAGTTATTCGGATTAAACACGTTTGAATACTAATGAAGTTTCTTTTTTGTATCTTTCTCTCCCCCATTCTCTCTCTCTCTTTCTCTCACATTCTCTCACACAAACACATTATCTCACACACACATTCTCTCTCTCTCTCTCGTTCTTTCTCTTTCTCTCATGTTCACTCTCACACACATTGTCTCTTTCCCTCACATTCTCTTTCTTTCACATTTTCTCCATCAAACACACATTCTCTCTCACTCTCTCACACACATTCTTTCTCTCATATTCTCTCTGTCACACACATTCTCTCTCTTTCACTCTCTCACACATTCTCTTTCTCTCACATTCTCTCTTTTTCTCTCACATTCTCTCTCTCACACACACATTATCTCACATACATTCTCTCCATTTTCTTCTTTCTCTCACATTCTCTCTATCAAACACACATTCTCTGTCTTTCTCTCTCACACACACTTTCTCTTTCTCTCACATTCTCTCTTTTTCTCTCACATACTCTCACACAAACATATTATCTCTCTCTCTCTCTCTCTCTCTCTCTCTCTCTCTCTTTTTTTTTTTTTTTCTTGTAGTGAGACTGCCACAGACTTATCTGGAATCTTTCCAAGGTAAGCAAGCTGTTCTGCTAACCCAGATCTGTTTGTTGGAGCCAAAGAGCTGCCTTTCTAACTGATGCATCCAAGACAGGTTTGGAAGGGGGGTTTGGGTGGGTGGGAGGGAAGAGGGAGAGGCCATTTCTAAAAGAAACAGTCATTAAGAAAAAAAAACGTGTTTGAGAGGCAGGGAAAACGTTTGCCATGTCAGACAGAAGCATCTGTAGAGTGGGCTCTTTCAACAAGAAGTGATCTGTGTACTTTTATTTTAATCGCTTCGTTTTAATTGTCATGATGTTGCTTTGAGAACATCCGAGGTGAACGACTGCCAAGTTCAGCCTTGGAAGTCTTCACGGGGAACTTCAGCTTGCTTTCAGATGTTCTGCTTGTGGTGTAGGGTTCTTCCTTCCTTCCTATCTTCCTCCCTCCCTCCTTCTCTCCCTCTTTCTCTCCCTCCTCTTTAACCCTCCCTCCCTTCCTCTCTCCCTCCCTCCCTCCTCTTTAACCCTTTCTCCCTCCCTCCTTCCTCCTTCTCTCCCTCTTTAACCCTCCCTCCCTTCCTCTCTCCCTCCCTCCCTTCTCTTTAATCCTTTCTCCCTCCCTCCTCTTTAACCCTTTCCCCCTCCCTTCCTTCCTTACTCCCTCCTTCTCTCCCTCCCTCCTCCTCTTTAACCCTCCCTCCCTTCCTTCCCTCCCTCCTCTCTAACCCTTCCTTTCTTCCTCTCTCCCTCCCTTCTAATCCTCCCTCCCTTCTCTCTAATCCATCTTTCTTTCTTTCTTTCTTTCTTTCTTTCTTTCTTTCTTTCTTTCTTTCTTTCTTTCTTTCTTTCTTTCTTTCTTTCTTTCTTTCTAAATGTACTGAAAGGTTCATGTGGGAATGAATCTCTTAAAACAGAAAATACTTGTCCAGCACTTTGGAAGTGGCAAGGTAGATTCGGCACCAATGCATGTACGATCGTTTCTTTATTATCTCTGCTGATTAAACCTTGGCTCCGTGTTCTTTTGTGTTTTCAAAACAGGCATAATATTTTTTGAGTCAGAAGATAGGGTGGCAAAAGATATGTGCACTTCCTTCATAAAGAGTAAAAAATAAATTTAAAAATTCTCCATTTTGTAATTTTATGGATGCAGCGAACAGATAATATTTGGTGAAACTGGCCTTTGACTCAAGATGATAATTTAAGACATGGGAACAAATGCCAGTCGTAGAACCTAGTTATTTGACCTACTTTCCCAACTAGATGTACAATTCAACCATCTTATTTTCCTACAAAAGGTTGGGCAAGCGGACTCTAAATTGTTTATAGCAAATTTCACATTCTTCCTTTTCTGGATTTCTCGGAAATTTATATTATTTACCAATCAAGGAAGAACTTCTGAAGTCTCTTTACAAGTTTGTGTGACGCCTCATAACATTGTCTTTCATCCTTTCTCTAACCAGTCTGCAAAATCTACTTTTTGTCTTTGTGAGCCACAGTGGTGCAGTGGTTAGAGTGCAGTACTGCAGGCTACTTCTGCTGACTGACTGCAATTTCGCAGTTTGAATCCCACCAGCCTCAAGGTTGACTCAGCCTTATATCCTTCCGAGATGGGTAAAATGAGGACCCAAATTGTTGGGAGCAAGAAGCTGACTTTGTATACTGCTTAAAGAGGGGCTGTAAAGCACTGTGAAGCAGTATATAAGTCTTTTTTTTTATTTTTTTTTTATTTTTATATTTTAAAAAAGATCTCTTTTGGTGAACAGTGTGGTTCCAGGTTTTTACATTTCAATACAAACATGTCCATAGTTACATATTCATCTTTCATATTCAATTTCGTATCACATTATTACTTATTCTATTTTCCTTTAAATATTCTCAAATATTATATTCCTTACATTTATTTTATTGAATTCCAGTTCATATCTTAACTTATTTCATTTTTCTTAAAATAGTCTCATGTCTTATTTTACAATATTATCTAAGATTCTTATTTCATTTCTATATTCATTACACATATTACTTTTATCTGTCACATTTGCAATTTTATCACATACTCTTATTCCATTCGTTCATTGTTCATTAGATTTCATCCTAGTTCTAACAATTCGAAAGTTGTCCCCTTTAATTGTTAATTCCAGCTTGCCACCCATTTACCTTGCGGTATATAAGGCTAAGTGTTATTGCTATTGTAAGTTTTTTCTCATAAAAGGGTTGAGTACCAAGGGGAAAATGGTTCATTTGGGAAAAGCTGGCAGATATTCTCTCATCAAACCAGGACTTCAATGAGCAGATAAAAACAGGACCTGCATTCACACATTTTCATCTAAGCGTTATGTAGTAGACTTTTCAAGGATAGTTAACAAATGAGAGCAGTTGTTTCTTTTCTAGAGGCATCTATAAAGAGAACTTGAACAGATGTGTTCGCTTTAAGGATTTGTAGGCAGTTAGAGTACCCACATGTACTTTTCCTTTTGGCATCTGAAGTAACAATACAATGAAGATCTTAATACATGTAGTCCTTGACTTGCAACCTTTCGTTGAGTGACCATTCAAAGTTACAACCACACTGAAAAAAAAAAGTGGTTGTGACTGGGTTTTTTTTTTTACACTTACGGCTGTTGTAGCCTCCCTGCTGACCATCTGACAGGCAAAGTCAATGGGGAGGTGAGATGCCCTTTAACCACGGCGTAACTTAGCTCACAACTTGCAGTGGTTCACTTAACCACCATGGGTGGTAAAATGGGGCAAAATTCACTTCACTGTCTCGCTTAGCAGTGGAAATTTTGGGCTTGAGGGGGAGTCGTATGTCAAGGAGTTTCTGTGGTTTCTGTTTCTGTAGTTTCATTCCCACTGGTCAAGGTGGTAGATTTGCACCAACGTCTCCTGCTTTTTGGGACTCTGCTTTTCAACTTTGCTCCTGGTCAGTATGTGAGACATTTAGAATACAGTGAACTGGAAGGGATCTTTGAGGTCTTATAGTCCACCCCCCCTAAAGCAGGAGACCCCGCACCATTTCGGACAAGCGGCTGTCCAGTCCCTTCTTAAAAACCTCCTGCAAGGAAGCACTCACAACTTCTAAAGGCAGGCTGTTCCTCTGGTTAATTGTCCTAATTGTTAGGAAGTAAGGATCTCCTGCTTGAGCAGAGGGGGTTGGACTAGATGACCCCCAAGTTCCCCTTCTGTCTCTGTTATTCTATTATATAATCTGTTGAATAATTGCAACGCTGCTATCATGTTGTCGCTCCTTCTTTTCCCTAGACTAGACATACCCCATTCCTGCAACCATTTCATTGTGTGTCTACGTCCTGATGGCTACGCAGCTGCCAATCCTTTTTCCTGGCCAAGAAAACAGCAAACCATTCTGAACTCAGCTCATAAGCAATACTTTGTTTTTCTTGACAAGCAGCTAGTTAAGCTTGGCAGTATCTATAGCATTCAAAACCTCCCCATTCCTGGCATTTTGGGGTAAACTCGCTGTATGCTGAATGCAAAAGGCACATCACCCTGCCCAACGTATCTGCCTGATCGCTGACCTTTAGGCTGGCAATTTAATATAGATACATCAATGAATGATATATTGGCAAAGGAGTCGACAAGCAGAAAAGCCTGGGCCGGTGGAAGATTCTGCAGCTTCCCAAGGCACTGCAATCTAATCTTGATTATTCTGTCAGCCTGGTTATTTGCTTTTGGGCTGCTTTATTTATCTTCCCATGATGAGCTCCTTAAGTCCGGCAAGTGGCAGAGGTAGAGGAGAAAATGGGGTTTGTTAGAAATTGCACACTCCCAAGTTTAAATTTGTTTTTTAAAAAAACAAACGGCAACGGGCAGGCAACAACCACAACCTCGCAGTGGCAGCCCTATTGCCATTCTAATCTAGTTGGGTGTCTCTCAGCCGTGGCAATTTAAAAATGTGTGGACTTCAACTCCCAGAATTCCCCAGGAAGCATTCGTGGCCTTCAACTCCCAGAATTCCCCAGCTAGGATTTGTAGATTTTAATATCCATAATTCCTCAGCCAGTGTTCGTGGACTTTAATTCCCCAAATTCCCCAGGCAGCATTCCTGGATTCCAACTTCCAGAATTCCTCAGCCAGTATTCATGGACTTCAACTCCCAGAATCCCCCAGGCAGCATTTGTGGCCTTCAACTCCCAGAATTCTCCAGCTAGGGTTTGTAGTTTTCAGTACCCATAATTCCTCAGCCAGTGTTTGTGGACTTTAATACCCAAAATTCCTCAGGCAACATTCATGGATTTCAACATCCATAATTCCTCAGCCAGTATTCATGGACTTTAACTCCCAGAATTCCTCAGCTAGGATTTATAGATTTCAATACTCATAATTCCTCAACCAGCATTCATAGACTTTAATACCCACAATTCCCCAGGCAGTATTTATAGATTTCAACACCCAGAATTATCCAGGCAGTATTCCTGGATTTCAACATTCGTAATTCCTCAGCCAGTAGTTGTGGACTTCGACTCCCAGAATTCCTCAGCCAGTCTTCATGGACTTCAACTCCCAGAATTCTCAGGGCAGCATTCCTGGATTTCAACATCCATAATTCCGGCATGATGATCACATGATCCTGGGACCCTGCAAGTGTTGAGAATACATGCTGGTTGCCAAGCAGCCAATTTTTGATCACAGGTCCATGGGGATGCTGCAACAATTTTAAGTGTAAAGACTGATCATAAGTCATTATTTCCCAGTGCTATTGAATGGTCTCTAGATAAATAGTTGTAAGTCAAGGACTACCTATACATGTTCAAAAAGGGCAGGCCTTTGTTTGCTAGGCTGTGACTGACATCTTGGGGAGGTGTGGGTGGAAGAATCCATCTGCAAGAAGCCTGAAAGCCTCTTCTAAGCATGGGATACTTTCTCTTCATTGGATTCATCGTTCCTATCCACCAAATTTTTCCTTTGCGTTGCAGAACTGGGGAGGGATCACCTGGTGTCCTCCTTTCCACCTCGGTTCTGCTCTATTGTCAAGGTATTGAGATTTCATATCTGACCAGCTGTTGTAAGGCTGATGCA